ACATCGCGGCATAAAGACAGCTCCTTTTTGTACTATCAAAAGCAGCTTTGTAATCGAAAAAGAGGTGGTATGAATGGTGAATATCTGGTCAGTTGTTGATTTACCAGGTCTTAAGCCACACTCATAAGGCCCAATCAGTTTTTTGACGGTGGGCTTTAATCTTTCACACAATATCCTCAAAAGAACCTTATACGCGATGCTGAGGAGGCTTGTCCCACGGTAGTTAGCGCAAATTGTGTGGTCTCGCTGTTTGTGGATTAGGCAGAGCACACTTAAATTTCAATCGTTGGGCATGCTTTCATCCGACCATATTTTACAAAGAAGCTGATGCATACCCTTTATCAGTTCTTCGCCGCCGTGTTTGAATAGCTCGGCCGGCAATCTATCAGCCCTTGCCGCTTTGTTGTTCTTAAGATGGATGATTACTGTTCGAACTTGGTCCGGCAATGGAACATCTGCTCCATCGTCATCAATTGGGGAGTCAGGTTCGCTTACTCTTGGCGTTATACTTTCACTGCCATACAGCTTCTTCTTCTTCTTCTTGATTGGCGTAGTCACCGCTTACGCGATTATAGCCGAGTGGCGTCAATTAGATATTACAAGTGAAGACAGGTCCCTCTCCACTTGGTCCTTCCAAGGGAGCGGAGGTCTTCCTCTTCCTCTTCTTCCCCCGGCGGGTACTGCATCGAAAATTTTCAGAGCTGGAGTGTTTTCGTCCATCCGGACAATATGACCTAGCTAGCGTAGCCGCTGTCTTTTAATTCGCTGAACTATGTCAATGTCGTCRTATATCTCGTACAGCTCATCGTTCCATCGGATGCGATATACGCCGTGGCCAACGCGCAAAGGACCATAAATCTTTCATAGAACTTTTCTCTCGAAAACTCGCAACATCGACTCTTCCGTTGTTGACATCGTCTAAGCCTCTGCACCATATAGCAGCTGTCTCTTATACACATCTAGATGTGTATAAGAGACAGCTCAACGTCAGCTTACACAGCCGTATAAGTTTTGCAGGGATACCAAATTCAGACATCGCGGCATAAAGGCAGCTCCGTTTCGTGCTGTCGAAAGCAGCTTTGAAATCGACGAAGAGGTGGTGAGTGTCGATTCTCCTTTCACGGGTCTTTTCCAGGTGTGAAGCCACACTGATAAGGTCCAATCAGTTTGTTGACGGCGGACTTTAATCTTTCATACAGTACGGTCGATAGAACTTTATATGCGATATTGAGGAGGCTTATCTTACGGTAGTTGGCGCAGATTGTGGAGTCTTCTTTTTTGAGGATTGGGCATAGCACACTTAATTCCAATCGTTGGGCATGCTTACGTCCGACCATATTTTACAAAGAAGCTAATACATGCTCCTTATCAGTTCTTCGCCGCCGTGTTGCAGCAATCCATCGGCCCCCGCCGCTTTGTTGTTGTTCAGCCGGGTAATTGCTATTCGAACTTCTTCCTGGTCTGGCAATGGAACGTCTGCTCCATCATCATCGCTTGAGGAATCGGGTTAGTCTTCTCCTGGCGTCGTGCGTTCACTGCCATTCAGCAGGCTGAAGAAGTGTCCCTCCATAATTTAAGTATGCTCTGGGCATCGGTGACTAGATCACCTTTGGGGGGTTCTAAAAGAGTATGCTCCGGTCTTGAAATCTTCTGTAAGCCGCCGCATTTTTTCTTAGAATTTTCGAGCATTACCCCTGTCGGCCAGGTTATCAAGCTCTTCGTAATCACGCATTTCGGCCTCTTCCTTTTTTTGTCTGCAAATGCGTTTCGCTTCCCTCTTCAACTCTCAGTATCACCACGTGTTGTGGTCGATCGTAACGTTGCGAGGTAGGCAGCCTGTTTTCTCTCCGCTGCGACACGGCACTCCTCGTCGTATCAGCTGTTCTTTTGTACTTTCCGAAAACCAATGATTTCGGTTGCAGCTGTACGTAAGGAGTTTGAAATGCCGTCCCCCAGTTCCCTTATACCGAATTGTTGACGAGTGCTCTCAGACAGCAGGAGTGCAGTGTCGTTCTTGTTGGTGGTTGGTCAATCCGGAGTCAGCCAGTTAGCTTGATGTATTTTCTTGTGCCAGAATCTAGTACTACAGATAACCATTTCGTGCTCCGGTATAGTCGATCAGCCGCAATCCATTTGGAGATGTTTCCTCGTGAAGGCTGAATTCACCGCCTGTTGCGCCAAAGAAACCTTCCTTGCCCAGAGACTTGTCTTCCGTCTATCATAACATGATCGATCTGGTGGGTGGCTTTTGAATCCGGAGACATCCAGGTATAATGATGTATATTCTTGTGCCAGAATCTAGAACTACAAATAACCATATTTAGGGATGTTTCCTCGTGAAGGCTGAATTCACCGACTGTTGCGCCAAAGAAACCTTCCTTGCCCAATCTGGCGTTAAAGCCGCCAAGCACGATTTTGACATCGTGGCGGCGGCAGCTCTCATAGGTGCGCTCCAAACACTCATAGAAGGCATCTTTGGTCACATCGTCCTTTTCTTCATCGGAGTGTGGGCGCAAATCAGTAATATGTTGAAGAACCATCCACGAACCCCACACCGAATTTGCGCTCTTTTGTATGCATCCGTCCATCGCATTTCTGAGAAGACTTCACTCAAACGAGTTCATCAACCAGCTGGGCAGCGGCACCTTTCCAATTAAAAGAACGGATATTCCAGCTGCATGCCCTCAAACCGTAAAAGATACTTGGTCAAAGACCGGAAGTCGTGAGTTGCTTGAGCACGTGACTCCATTTTGGTTTGTACTACACTTTAAGTAAAAACACGTTTGACTTTACTTAAAAATTAGTGTTTTTCATTTTACTCTTATTGGAAAACCCTGTATTATCGTATAGTAAGCTGTTCTTTAATTACATTTAATTTAATTTCCATACAAATTCACTGGGTTGCATGGGTTGCCGACGATTTACGCAACATCTTGCGACATTACCACGGACAAATTTTCTAATGATATCAGTACCCCATTATGTATTTCTGCTCGAATTTCAAGTTCGAGAATTTCCATCGTTAAGCGCACCCTTTACGAAATGCAAATTGCTCCACAATTTATGTGGGTTTAATGGAAAGCAGGTTGAAATAAGGATGGGAAAAAGTGACCGAATTAGATACAAAGTGCATCAGTCGGTGTATGATCCCAAAGATTATCATCCTTCACTAATTTTAATCATCTTCACGATATGTTTCGCAGATTCCACCGTCGATTGTTCGTAGGCAGGCGAATGAAGTTGGTCGACGGACATTAACTAATAACAAACGTAACTAAAAACATTCGTAATTTCTTGGGTAAACTATGTAAATACGTCTCAACGCATCGGTTGAATAAAGATCCACATATCCTGGTACATGTTTTTCTTGTTTTTGCCGTTGAAATTTTTTGTTTGATACATTCCATGCAATATATATTGACATTTCAGAGTAAAACAATATTTTTGTAAATGGATCGCTTGCACATGGCTCGAAGAAGCTTGTCAACTTTGTTGCTAGTGATCGTTCAGCTTGTTTCACTGTATTTTCTCAAGTAAAATAAACTAGTTGTCCATTTTCAAGTTGAACAGCTAAATGCACTACAGCGGGGTGACGGTCATATATTTGTACTTTTTAATTGTCTGACGGCATCATATCTAATGCTGTTTTAAACAATTGGATCAAGTGATAAGCGATATTGCAATTTTTCAATACCTGTGGTTTCAGTGATTGCTATTTTTAAATGATTTTGTATTGCTATAGCGACGAACTAAAACAACGAAAATATGAAAACATTTGTACTCAATTTGTTTTTTTAAATTCATCCCATAAGCTTTCAAATTTGATTTTAACAATAAATAAAATGAGAAATGTGATTAAATCAAAAAATTTCTTAAGCAGTTGCAACTTCGGATTACTTCTTCCAACGACTAAACTTATATACATAACTAAGACATGTTTATCACATATGCATTTAAAATATTGTGATATATTGGCCTTTTCATCGTCCAAACGGCCGCGGCGGTTATTCCACTCTAGAATGCCTATATTGGACATGTTTCTTAAAATTTGTCAAAGATGTTTGTATGAAATTTTTTTTTATTTAGAAAAATTACAATTTACATGTACTCACTTATTTGCTTTAAAAAATGTCTTGCCATTATTAAAAATCATAAGAAAGTGCAAAAGTTAAAACGTGCTGTGAGGAAAAGTTGTATCTAAGTATTTAACATACTAACATACCAGTTACTTTTCTGTTATTATTCTAATTTGCTATTAGACTCCCAAGTAAACCTATTAAACTGTAATGTTAAAAAATCGCAATTTCATAAGTCTTTTTTGAACTGCTACCGGTATTCACAGGTTTTAAGTGATGTGACAATAGCTTTCGTAGAGTGAACTGCTTTTTACGAAATGATCGCAGTGGTAATATGCGACTATCTATTCACATTGACAAAATCACCAATAGAGAAATATCGCTCATCACTAATCAACGGAGTTGTTACAAGCTTTATAACAATATTTCTCCCAGCTGTAGGATTGAGCGTGTATTCACTTCATTTTAAGAATTCCCTGGAAAATAAATTTAAATAAATTTCTATTAACCATCAACTGATGGCAACAATGCTTCAACGCAGTGGTGAAATTTCCCGACAGATATTTAAACGCCTTGCTGGTGGCATTTAAAACTCATTTCCAACTACACTAATTTCGATTTAACCCCTAAATTAAAACAATGTCCGTCTAGTGCGTCCAATAGATTTTTTCGATTAAAAAAAAAAACGAAAAAAATCATAGAATCTCATAGAACTGTTACATTTTCTTGTAATAGGGTTGCGTGTATTCTTGTTCATAAATATATGAACATGAAAATCTTATTACATGAAGCTTGATTTATATGTAGAACATTATATTTTTGACACAAATACATTAATACATAAAAATACACATGTATGTATACATGATACACCAAATGTCAAGTACAATGGTAAGCAACAAAATTGTAATATGAGACTTAGTCATAAAAATGTGAAAATCATTGAATATAAAAGAAAACTCATAAATTAGAGTATACTCGTATCACTATACAAAACATACATACTCCAAATATTAATGCACACAAGCGACAGATAAGAAAGTATCAAGCGTATGTACGTATGTGTATAAGTGCGTTGGATGCACTAATCTAAATAGATATAAAATATCAATGCGTTGGTATCAGAAGAATGCAATAAAAATCAAATACATATTTACACATGTGTATGTACACTAAACATACACACATATACATATGTACCTAGTTAAGAGATTAGAATTAACAAATGTATTGGCGAAACAAATTTAAATTAAAAATTTCAGAATCAAACGTGAACTCTCACAGCACCTTTACAATAAGTGTTTTTCTGTACAATTCTTGTTACCAAAATATACAAGCCTTGCCGTAGCAATAACGAACACAATAAAAGAGAATTATCTAATTTGATCAGTGATCAGTATGGAAATAAGTCTGAATTTGATTTTGGGAAGGTCTGTTATTCGTTTGAAAATTTTGAGAATGTATCTTCGCTGCAAAAGCCATAGCTTATCTCTTTACCTCAGATAGGGTAAGCTCATCGTTGTCTCCCAGCACCCAGATGAGCTAAATCTAATGGCGGATAAGAAACCAGGAGGACTGTTAAATTAGTTGACGCACTATTAATCCATAAGAATTTTTTCTGGTGGGACGAGATCGCTTTGAATGCGCCTTGCGTGCTCTTTAAAGTTCGGTAAACAACGTACGCTTGATAGCCTGTGCTCCCTTACTTTCAAAGTAACTACACTGCAAAGATATGATCGCCTGGATGTGGTAAAACTCAGCCGAATTGGCTTCGTAGTATGAAATATAATACAATTTCAGTATGCACCTTGACGTCTTCTATTAAAGACTTACATAGCGAGGGCTACATGCTTCCGCTTAAATAACACAATTCACACCTACCCAAACACTTTCTGCAGTTGCAGTCGTCATCTATTTCAAGATCAGTGATTGGCCTACTTAAACCAACAAACGAACAGCTCGAGTTGCCGCGTGAAACAAGAGTAATCCCCTCACAACTTCGCTCAAGGTATTTGTGCAAGCTAAACTGACTAAACTATTGATTTGTGCAGAATTGACTCCAACAGAACACATATATGACAATGAGTCCCCGTATGACTCAAACCACTTATTTGTACGTCCAACAAATCACTCGCACCTAACACTTATTTCCCTTTGGTCCGACCCCGTCAACGATTGCTGAGACTACTGTTGGATGACTTCGATGACAACCAACTTGAATCTTACCACCCAAGCGAAGATTATAAAAGCGCTAGAACAAAGACAACAAAAAATGAGCATCTTCTTGAAGAGAAACGGTTGTGTACATAATTTCATTATTGTTACCTGAAAATAGAAGTGACTAGTTCGCGTATGAGCTGCTCAAGCCATATGTAATGAAATCGTTTCTGGCCACTCCAAAGTGAATGACGCTCAGAGAACTTTCCGCACTTGCGAGAACATCTACACATGGCTCAATCCACCCAAGATATACGAGGACGTCGACATAGTTCAGTGAATAAAGAGTCAGCTTTGGCTAGGTTATGTCGTCCGAATGGATAAAAGCACTCTAGCTCTAAAAGTATTTGACGTAGTTCCCGTTGGGGAAACGCAGCAAGATGAAGACCTACACTTCGTTGGAAAGACCAGGTGGAGAAGGACCTAGCTACACTTGGAATCTCTAATTGGCGCCAACAGCGAAAATAAAGAACGTTTTGCGCGCTCTTGTAATCAATAAAGAAGAAGAAGTTCGCATATGTACAGACGGATATGATTAAACCGATTCAAAGCTATACATACATATGTATATATTTTATGGGGTTTATATCTGAGGGTCACAAACTTAATGCAAACTTTCTGGGTATACAAAAATTCTTCAATTAACACTTCATTAAAATGCTGGTGCTTGTAGCATAATACCAGTTCTAATAGACAGAAACTCTGGGTAATATTTAACAATAAATTGCTTGCATGCTTAAGAATGTACATATGTATATTGAGTACATGGTTTTAGTTAAGCAACTTCTATTTTATATGTACATAATGTATGGTTATTTCCATTATTTCAAACACATACGTTTTGTGAACATAATTCTATATTTGCTTTTATTTTCAGCTCGAATACCTGCTCGTTTGGTACTTTACTTTTTATCATGGTCTGGCTTTTTGGTTTCATTTATGATGCGCAACGATATAAACTTTGCCCTCGTGGCAATGGTGCGTACATCAGACCTGTCGAGTTCCTTAAGCACTTCTGATCCTAGCAGCAAATTGTTTAGCTCCGCTGATAAAAATGAAACAAACAAACAACTTTTTTTTAATAATGACAATACGAATATATTTGTGATAAACTCAACAATGGTAATATTTTATGTAACATTTTTAATATTTCGAATATATACAACATTTTTATAATTTTAGAACTCCGAAAACAATGACGACTTATATGGTTGGTCTCCAACGGTGAAATCAATAGTTGTAAGCTCGTTTTACTGGTGCTATGTATTGTCACAAGTTGTCGGTGGTATCGCTACACAATACTTTGGTACAAAACAAGTATTTGGGTGGTCTCAATTTGCTACAGCGTTATGTAGCCTATGTATTCCCTTTGGTGCTGACCTACACTATTCAGCTGTGATAATATTGCGATCTGTGCAAGGTTTCGCTTCTGGGTTAACATGGCCGGCTATGTACGCAATAGTTGGCTATTGGATACCGTTAGCCGAACGGTCCCGGTTTATGTCCAGTTTTCAAGGCTTTAGTATAGGTATAGGCTTAACATACCCTTTATGTGGATTTATCATTGATAACTTCGGCTGGCGATATGTCTTTTTTACCACTGGTTCTTTAGGTATGATTTGGTGCATATTGTGGTATTACTTAGCGTTTAACACGCCTAAGGAACATCCACGAATTTCTTCTCAAGAAATTGAATATATTGAAGTAAGTGTTAGTTCAGAAGCAAAAGAAACAATAGGCATGAAGGTGCCATGGAAATCAATTTTTACTTCCTTGCCTGCGTATGCGATTGGCATAACTACATTTGGCAGAATTTGGATTCACTATATATTTATTGTGTGTGGTCCAAATTTTATGAAAAATATGCTTAAATTCAATTATAAGACCAACGGCTTCCTCTCCGGAATGCCTTTTATTTGCTCCTATATCTCGTCTGTTTTATTTTGCTATGTTGCTGATAAATTGATGCTAAGTAATTGGATGAGTCTCACAAATGTCCGAAAACTCTTTACCGCATTGTCACAAGTTGTACCTGGCATTCTGGTATACTTGATTGGATATATAGACAAAAACATTGTATTATTATTGGTAGTATGGTTTGTGTCAGTTACATTCATAACAGCCTCATATGCAGGTGCAATGGCTAACATTGTTGATATTGCTCCGAATTTAGCTGGTCCGGTTCTTGCTTTTTGCCAAACAATACATATGTCAGCATCATTTCTTTCTCCGCTGGTATCCGGTATAATAGTCACAAACGAGGTATATTTTCCCTTATTAGTAATTTTACGTTCAAAATACGTTGTATGTTGCAATAATTTTCAGAGTTCTATAGAACAGTGGCGTTTAGTATTTGGTGTTTCATCCGTAATTGCAATATTAACATTTGTCGTTTATCAAATCTATGGAACTGCTGAAATTCAGAACTGGAACTACCCCCAGTCGCGCAATGATGGTTCTGCAGATGAGTGCCAAATCCTTAATAAGCGGAAAGAGCATATACGGAAAGATGATTTGTAAACTATGTAATTAAATATATGTACTTAAACAACTTACAGTTTTTATACACTGCTTTTATATGTGCTCTCTTAACAAATGCAAAATTTACAAAGGTATATAACAATATATGTATGCGTCATATGCTAGCATAAGTAAACCATATGTATGTATTAGTTGTTTTGCATTTTTTAATAATGTGAAGGTCTTAATACTATTCAAATAATGTGTGATTTGTCTAAGGAATCGGATATAAGAAAAAAAATATAATAAAAATGAAACCTATTAATTTAACATACATTTCAGAACATAATCTATTATATAAGTAATGTGGAGTACAAGAAACAGTAGATGTAGAAGGGACTCTGCTACTCAAAAACTATCAAAGTATCGAATGATGCTTCTGCATGGATCAAATTCCTTTGTCAGTAGTAGTATAGTAGTTTTTATTATTATTTAAACTTAGAGACTGTGAAAGTGTTTATTTTAATTAAAAATATTATTTTTCTGAAAATCCGATATTTTTCCGAAATTTTTATCCTAAAACAAGAAAAAACGTAACGTAAACATCAGTTGGACTAAAGCTTTATTATTCACACAATAACTTGATTTTGATCGATCGTTGCCTAAAGTTTATATGATAGCTAAATGATATAGTTCTGAAAAAGTGTTTTTTTTTTTTGATAGCGTTGCCTTATTAAATAATTCATGCCAAATTTCATAAAGATATCTCGATCAGAAAAATTAGCAGCTTCTTGGAGAGAAGCGGATGAGTGTAATAATTGCCGATCTATGTCTCAATAACTACTAATTCGGGTATAAACAGGCAAAAAGACGGACGAACAGACGATCTCGATTTAATCGACTCTTCTCGCCATGAAATGGTCTGAACTCAAGCAAGACCCTACTGCACTCTGCGAAGATTTTAGGGCCCAGGGGCGGTTGTTGTTATTTTAACGGTTTCGGCCCAGGAAACGTGCTGTGTGGACAGGGTGGGACCAAAGGGAAAAGAGTGTTAGATAAGTAGGGTTGGTAGGGCATGCAAGGAGGTCATGCGGAGACTCGTTGCTTGCAAGATATACATTGGATATGTCGGGGTCTATTCGGGATAAGTAGCAGTTTAACCTGCTACAATATCCAGAACGAAGCGGTGCTAGGGTCACCCGCGTTTCTCGCGTCAACTGGAGCTACTGTGAATGGCGGTTAGTACCTGTCGGAATTCAGTTGCGTCCGAAGTCCGGTATGTGTACTGTGCGACGTAGTCAAGGAAAGACCTCTTGATGCTCCTATTAGGTGGTTCCGCTCCAAGCAGGTGACTGCAAGGGTGATTTCTACGAAAACATCCCAGCAGGAACTGCTAGGAGAGGAGTTCATTATGCTCCTTGACTGGTAGCATGAGCGTCTCACTATGTACGTAGGTGTTCGATGGGAGACATCAAGAGACATCCCGTCATGGCCAGTAGTGCAGTATTCTGACAAGTCTGTAGTTTCCTCATCTGCCTACCACAACATCCAGTCGACCATATTGGTGCTGCGAAGTTGAGGACCGGCCGGCCGATGGCCTTGTATGTTCCCAACATTTGTTGTGGCTGTGTACCTTGGYGATAATCCCGACCGTGTGGGCCTAGACTTTCAAAGGTTATAGTTTAGATGTTTCACCTCGAAATAGTACGGATGGTTGTCGATCGTTCAGGTAGTTCATGCTACGCGTTGTGTGGTTGACTGTGTTAAAAGATTTTGACAAGTCCAACGCTACGAGGGTCGTTCTCTCACAGGGTGGTTTCTACTACTCTCTCCAAGCTTAGATGCTTTGGCATTGGCATGTTAATTCTGTCAGGACCAGTTTAGAAGATTTTGATTTGTTGAAGACATTCTGAACCTGCTCCTGGTGAAAGTAAGTGGCGCGAAGTCGTTTGGCATTTTGCGCAGCCGTCGGTTAACACATCGCTTGGTTTTGTCTACCGTGTCAACTGCCGGCTAAAATAGCTCGCGCACTTCTTCAGGCCCGAAGAGGCATGACCAGTGGCGGATTAAGTATTTTGCCGCCCTAGGCCCTGTCTGATTAGCCGCCCTTTTTAAAGGATGAAATTTTATTTCTTTGAGTCCGTTCATATTATTAATATATAATATTTATTTCATAAAAGTATAATTGTTAAACAATACAAATAAATATTAACAACATATATAACAGTTAGTTTCCTTAAACTACATAGATATAATGTATAACTTAATTTTTAAATATCTTCTTTCTGGCTATCGTCTGATCAGTTTCTTGAACAGTTGGGCTTCAATTGGCAGTAGAGCTAAAGATTTTGAGAATGCAAAAAATTGTATATTCCTTGCGCGGAACGAATATCTTTTGTGTTCATTAGAGAATCTTTGAGTTGACAGTGCAAATGAATACATTCATTCGCAAAAGTATCTTCCAAATCATCAGAATACTTAGTAACTAATTCATCTGCGCGAATTTTTAATTAATTGGTATCTATTTCATATAAAGGTTATGATAAGCACTTTTGCGTCCTGTCAATTGTACACTTAAAGTATCTAAAATTAGATAGTAAACGTTGGTTCGAAAATTTTCTCTCCAGATAAAGCTGTTCTTTCATTTTCCCTTGACTCGTCAGCTTGAAGTTTTCGGGTTTTTGTACGACGGTTGTCATAGTGGTAATAACTTTGAACTCCAGATAGTGCTTTGGCTTTTTTTTTTCATAATCATAAAATTGTTTATCTCTCATATCTTAGAGTTATATATTCTTATCACAGATGATAAATCAGCTTGAGAATCCTGAAGCTTCTTAGTCGCAGCATTAAAGCAATCCAAAATTGCATTCCAAACAATGACTAGAATTGCTGTTTCTTGGTGTTGTTACTTTTTGCTGCATTCCCTTAGCTCCAGCTCGCGTAGTAGGTTTTTCATCTTTGTTTTCACCAATAAAATTTAGTGCAACAATTATTCCTTTCCACTCTTTTTCTAATGTGTAGAATGCATCATGTTGAGCCGACCAACGAGTTTGAGAAAGGCTTTTAAGTCTTAAACTTGTATGATGTCTTAAAATTTCCCAACGGTGTGTCGAAACGGTAAACAAAAATTATATAATTCTTGCAAAGTAGAAAAAAACTCAACTGCTTCGGCAACAGCAGACAGCTGCACAAGTTCCCACTAAATGTAAAGAGTGACCAGTACAAGGAACATATTCAGCTAATGGATTGGTTATTTTGATTCGTGCTTGCACTCCTGAATGTAAGCCTGACATGTTGCTTGCATTACCGTAAGATTGACCACGACGATTTATTATATTTAAACCATTATCCTCAAGAGATTTTAACAAAGCATCTTCAATATCTTTAACCTTATTATTTTTACCATTGTTACGTACATATCTAATAATTATCGTGAGTTGATCAACATGAGCAATATCAGGCATGGAATCCACAATTACAAGAAAATACTTAGCAGATTGCACTTCTTTAGAAATATGTTACAATACTTTATTTTGAATTAATAATATAATTTCTTCGTAGATTGTCTTGAATGAATGAATAATAATGAGGAATGCACTGCGACCTTTGGTCTATTGTGCCCTCTCCTTCCTTACATTGCCTCACTTAGCCCCAGCCCATTAATGAAGTCCAGTAGGCTGCTAGGCGCTAGCGAGGCAATGCGATCCCTATCCGGAAATGGAACTCCAAGGGCCTTGGCTATGCGAATACAGACTGCTGTGCAGTCGATCAGCAGATGCTCCGGAGTTTCAGGCTCCCTGTCACAGAACCGGCAGTTGGCGCAAGCTGATAGGCCCATTCTGTACAGATGCCCATTCAGCTTACAGTGGCCAGTGTACCATGTGACAAACAGCCTGAGTTTGCTCTTGGGCAGGTTAATTACCATTTTGAACCTTCTCAGGTTGTARCCTCCCATTAGCAGCTTGGCGTGTCTCACACCATGAGTTTGTCGCCACTGCTCTTCCCTTCCTGGTTCGGGTCCTACCATCCTC